CCTTCTTGGAGGGGGAGACGTTCACTTTAGGCTGGACTAGGAGTGGGGTAAAAAAAAACAATAGCATTTGAGATTACTATTATTATTTCTTAGACATGTTCATTATGGAATCCATTGGTAGATGCTTACAATAGGAATGGTGCGATTAGGATGTCAGATAAGGGTGGTACCGAAAAGATACAAATAGACCTTCAAATAGAGCATCCATGATCTTGAATAAAATAATAAGTATGGAGAAAAATAGACAAAGGCAGTAATTTTTAGCAGATTTAGGAGAAATTTTAAACTGTAAGCAATTGATTAACAGTCTTTGGACAAAGAATATTTAATTAGCTGTGAAACTACCTATGTTTTCAATGTTCTATCTTGATGTAAAAGGTTCAAAATTTGCTCTAATAATTTCTTGAAATTAACATAAACGGACAATGGCATTCTCTTGGTCTACTAATCCAATAACTATATTTCATAATAAATATAAATAAAATGAAGCAAGCTTGACATGACTCATTCTGCAAATAAGCTATGCATTAATATTTTCTGGCCTCTCCTACAAAAACTAAAATATTCATACTCATAGTAATGTCCACAAATGCAATGTTCTGAGCCCCTACATGCTAGATTGGTGGAAATCCCGTCCTTTTCCAAGTTCCTCCTCTGGGAACCATCTTTCCTGTCCTGCGGACCTCACAGATGATCAGGAGACGCCTGCAGCTCGGCAGCTGTCCGTTTGCTGTCCCCGTCCTGGCTCCTAGGCAGCTGGGGGTCAATCTGCACGGTGCCCTGGCAGTTTGTCTTTGGGATCTCTGCCTCCAGCACCCTTTCCTCTCCAGAAGGCAGAAAAGATGCAGCTGCCCCAGAGAACAGCCCATTCACAGGAGTTTCCCGGATCGGAAGTTCCAGGTCCTCATCACTGAGTTCTTTCCTTTCTACTTTCTACTTCCCAGAGACACAAGTACCCTGAGGTGGGGCCGGCCGGGTAAAAGTGCAGTCTTGAACTAGCCCACAGCCTTTAACCCTGTGGTATTTCCACCTCTGTCCACATTTATCCGAATTGCCAGGCTTTTCCGCTCAGTGTGATTTGATTTTGGAGGCACCTGTGTTTTCACTCTAGTTCAATCATCTCTATAAACTGCAAGTCCTTCAGACTAGTCAACCCATGTCTGAATCCCAACTGTGGATTACACTTAATTTCTGCCCCGCAGGGAACCATAAACATCAGGGGGTATACTTGGGTGTCTATTTTAAGGTCCCAGAACATTCCATGGGAGGTACTTTGCTCAATATTCTGACAGGAGCTGGTCAGCCTAGCGTACGTAACAGACCTCCAGGGGGCGTTGGAGCTCAGCTCAATCCCCAATGGTCTCATTCCTGACCGAGTTCGAACACATTCCACCAAGGCAAGGATTGCTGTCTACTCCTGCTTATTAGTTGCCTGGTCTATGCCCACAAAACATTTGTTCAATTATTTCTAGATGTAGCTGGGCATCCACAGCGGAAGCGCCACACTCCTCTCCTCCCCGCTTCACTCTTCTCCTTTGCACCGTGTTTTCCCTATTCCATTTCACGCCCCATTACTATTTCCCTGGACAATAAAGACAGTTTCTTACCTGATCTCGGAAACTCCAGTCCCTCCTCTCCCCAACACTTCACACTCTTCTGAAAACACACCTCTGACCTTGTCATTTTCATTAAAAAAATAAAAAAATCTTCAGTGCCCTGATCACACTTATCTGGCTACGTGAGAATCGGTAAGGAGCTAATTAAAATACAGATTTCCAGATCTCACCACCCACAGAATCTGAATCTCTGGGCAATGAAAATCTCCAGGACAGCCTCCGGGACAGTTTGGTTGGGGACCTGCTGGCCTAGAAGATAAACCCAACTCCTGAGGCTGGTATCCAGGTCTCTCTGCAATTTGGCAGCTGATTACCATTAAAACAAATGATGTAGTTGACCTGGGCCCCTACAAAGTCTTAGTAACAGTTTAACAGTTTTTACCAATTGCATTACTTTTTCCTTTTTTGAGACAGGGCCTCACTCTGTGGCCCAGGCTGGCGTGCATCGGCATCATCATAGCTCACTGCAGCCTCAAAGTCCTGGGCTCAAACAATCCTCCTGCCTTGCTTCCTAAGTGGCTGAGACTGCAGGCACTTGCCATCACACTCCGCTAATTTTCTTTTTGATTTTTTGTAGGGACGGGGTCTCGCTATGTTTCCCAGGATGTTATTGAACTCCTAATGTCAAGCAATCTTCTTGCCTCGACCTCCCAAAGTGCTAGGATTCCAGGTGTGAACCAGCGAGACTGGACCACATTATTTCCTTTTGGACATTTCTCTCAACTAATTACTTCAGCAACTTTCCCAACCCATGTCATTCTCCCAATCCCTACCCACTTTGTCCACCATCTCACTCTTAGCACATGACCTTACCTTCCACTTCCCCACACAGGAGAAATGAAAGGTGTGACTTCCCCAGCCCCTCCCTTCACCCTCCTCTATTCTTTCCTTTTTCTCTCCGACAAGGCCCTTGTTGTGTCCGAGTCTCCCCGACCCCACAGTGCTGTGGACTGAGGTCTCCTGGGCTCCGCGCACCAGGCTCCCCCACCCTACAGGCTGACAGCGGAAGCCAGTGCTCCCGTCTCCCATCCTTGAAACGTCCTCTGGACTCTGCACGCACCGCTTCTTCCCTTCACACTCAGACTTCCTGAAGGAACAGCACGATTCAGCTCACACACCACTCTGTGCCAGCCGTGCTGAATGCAAGACAAATATCCCAGCCCAGAGGACCTGATGGCCCACACCCACCTCATCTACCCCGGCCCCCGCCCAGCTCCCCGCCGCAGCCAACCGCTCTCCCCAGGTCTCCAAACCCACCTTGCGCCTCTGTCTACTCGGCCTCCCCGAGTCATGGCAGCGCCGTCTACTGCGCTGCCGGGGTCACCTTCTCTGCCTCAGCCCCATGGCACTTCTCTGCCCGGGTGCTCCTCACACCCCCTTGCTTTTTGGTCTCCTTCACAGCCTGTGCTGTCTTAGCCGACATCACCGCGTCCGGTTCCCAGGATCCAGTCCTTTGCCCTCTTCCCACGGGATCCCCTGTCCCCAGATGGTCTCCTGGAGCCCAGCTGTCCTCCCTGGCTCCAGACCCCTCCCTACACCGTCCATCAGGCGTCCCTGTCCCCACAGGCGGGGCCAACCCGCCGTCTCCCCCAAGTCTCTGCTCGGCGCGCTGTGCCTGGGGTACCAGTTGTCTGCTCCACACCACGGCCCTGCACGTGTCCCTGTCTCCTGGGTCCCCTCAGCCCACACCCGCTCGGCTGCCAGGCCTGAGGATCCGTCTGCCTCCATCTCCCCCCATCCGTGCTCGGCCCAGCTCAGGCCTCGCTCCGGGACAAGCCTCCGGCCTGGCGCCCCCATCATGCCCAGCCCCCAAGGCCCCTTCCTGCCCCCTGGACGGCCCCTGACGCGGCCCGGCTCTCCCTGCCATCTGGGCCTGGGTCCCCCCCTCCCCCGGTTGCCGCAGCCCGGGCCGCGGACTCACCTCTGCGCTGCGCCACGATGGGCTTCTCCGCCTCGTAGTTGTGTCTGCACGCGGTGCCCGCCACGGCCCGCCTCCCCTCCAGCAGGTCCTTCTGCCCGTTCCAGGACTCAGCGCTCTGCCGCCCCAGCTCCGTCACCGCCTGGAACAGGCCCACGTCGCTGTCGAAGCGCACGTACTCCTCGCGGTTGTAGATGAATCTCTCCACGAAGCGCTGCGTCCCGTTGCGCGCGTAGCACTCCTGCCGCACCTGGTACAGGTAGTTCTCTGCGGGGCGGGAGGCGCTCAGCGCCGGCGCCGCGTCCCCCCCTGTGTCTCTCTCAACAGTTACCATTCTCTCCAGACCTTGCCGCTCTGGATTGGACTGTTTGGATTTTTAAGCACTATTTTCCCTAATACCGAGTTAGGCCGTCTTAGGCGGCCACACAACCTTCCCAGGACTCAGTCCCGCTCCCCCTCCCCCGTCAAACAAGGGGATTTCCTGAGTCGCGATGGGAGTCCCTGCTCAGGGGTGATTCAGTGTCATTACAGAGGGGTGGGCATCCTGAGGACAAAGTAGTCACTTCTGCTGGCACCTGGAGGAGAGGGGGGGACTTTTCCTGGGGGGTGGCAACTGGAAGTGGGGAGAAGCTGGGGACCAGGAGGGCAGCGCTGTTCTCTCTGTCCCAACCCCCGCCTATAATTTCCATCCTGGTGACAATCAGGGCTCAAGTGTCCCCGCCTCCACGAAGACATCCCGTATTTTTTCCCTTTCCCTTTCCCACAGCTGGGAGCTCTCTTCTCTGCCAGTATCTTCAATATACCTCAATTTGCTCTCGTTCTGCACGCTGGAAATGTAGCAATACGTTTCTTAAAACTTTCTTAAAGCTTGATATAAATGACTTTCTAGCCTGGAAGTTAATATATCTTTTCAGTTTTCAAACATGGCTGTAGAAAGAATGGATCTCAAGAGGTGTGAAAAATCACCACAACATCCAGAGACCAATGGGGACTGGGGATCCTTGGGTTTAGCGGCATTGGGGGTGTCATTTCATACAGAGGAATGTGGCAGCCTCTGCCACATGCTGCTCTTCCTAGGGACAGCCACCAGCAGTGTCTGCAGATGCACATCTACAAACAAGTAGCAGTGACCTAGGCCTGCTCTGCTCTTGGTTACATGGGGAAATTAAAGTGGTGTGATCATTTGGGTATCTGTTTCATCCCCTACAAATTAACATGTCAAGGTGAGAC